TCTGAATGCCCTGTAATACTTTCATTCTCTTAATGGTTTTTTACTATTTTGTTATGTTTGATACTACAGTGTATGAAGGTATACTCAAATATTTCAAGGAAAGAGACATTATGGTAGTTACTGTTATGTTGGGTTGTCTTGTGGTGAAATACTATGTTGCTTAAATTGTTCTGTTCTGATCTGTTTTGTTATTTTCTCTTTTAATTTTTTAAAAATAAATTTAAAAATTTCAGTGGATGCAGCATTTTACAGATGATAAAATGGAGGAGATGAAGTGAAAGCACGTATTCATGAAATTGAGATTGAGATCCAGTTTCATTTAATTCCGGTGATCATGCTACTCCATCTTTGCACGTTCTCTTTTAGGAGTCTCTATTTTTTGCTGTTTTCCATACAACCAAGTTTAGCTCTTTAAAAAAGACCCGGCCCAGCGCTGCCTGATGGGCTCAGCCTCTCACGGCTCCTCTGCTCGTGCAGATCCGCACTTGGCTTCTTTTCATCGCAGCCTCGCACATCATCGCAGTTACAGGCTGGAGAGGACTGAACTGGGAAATAAGCGGAAGGGCACGAACCATCGTACATTGTCAATTTTTTTTTTGGTCTTTTTCCTTTTTATCGGTACCGGGGATCGAACTCACGACTGCCTGCTTGCAAGGCAGGCGCTTGTGCCGCTGAGCTAAATCCCCAGCCCCTCGTACATTGTAAATTGTCTTTCCATTTTGGTTCTTTATCCTCACCCTCAAAATAAAATGGCATAATTCAGTCTTGTTCCTACTTTAATTTATTAATTCAATAAATTTATTATGCATTGTATGTATATTAGCCATTGTGTAAGAAGCCCAAGGTTCAGTGATAGCTACCCTCAAAGGGTTTACAATAGAGGGATTAAATTGATATAGCTATGTTTGACTTCAGAGATAATAAAAACGCAAAAAAGGAGAAATAATGACAAGACATTTCTTCTCCAGTGGATACCTTTTTTTTTTTAAGTTCTTGTGACATTCAGCATTGAAAGAATTTTTGGAAATCATTATTTCTAGCACAAAATATCTTCATTATATTAGCTGAAATTACTCTAATGTTTTATAATAACAATACTGGGAAAGGCTTCCTTAATGTCATACTGAGAGTGACTTCTAACACATCTGGGGATGAGATGAGGTGGAGAGATGGACACATCAAGCATGCAGATCAGACATGGAACAGACTGTTGTTCAGAGTGGATTTTGGTTCATGGAGATTCGTCACACTATTCCTTCTACTTCTGAGTATGTTTGAATTCTTCACAATAAAACGTTTTTAAATAAAAAACACTGTGACAGAGCATGTGTTGTTAGTCTAGTTAAGTCTCGCGGTCACCCCTGCCTGCATTAGGGAGGTAACAGTGGACTTCGTACCAGAAGCCCACTTAGCTTTGGTCCTGCTGCTGAGACAGGTACGTTGGGCCGAGGTAATGCCCCCGACTGACTTGGAGTGCAGAAAATTACACCAGGGGTGGAGGCCGGATGTCCATTCAGCCACAGGTGCCCACTCCTGGGCACGACCCAGAGGACACTTTATCAGCTTTCTTTCCTCATCGCCTGTCACCCCATGGAAATACAGATTCTCATTGCTATTGGTGTTAGATACTGATATACTCTGAAAAATAATTTGGAGGTGGACATCAAGATCCAGAAAATTTTTAATTTTACAATCTTAATTCAATGGAGTTTGATTCAGTAATTTCACTTGTGGGAACCAATTCAAAGAAAATAACCCATAATATACTAAAACATATAAATGAATATATAGGACAGTAATACCATAATAACAACACACAGGAATCAGTCTAATGTGTACAGATTAAGTAAATGCATGCACTTGATGAAATATTATAAAGAAATTTACATGTTTGTTTATTCATTTCTGCAAAAATAAATGGTTATGTTTCCAAAAGGCTGGATTAATCTGCATCCTGCCCAGCATTGTACTTGTGCTCTGTGACACAGGGTGCTATCACTGTAAAAAACAGCTGCCAGCTGAGTCTGGTATAGTTTCACACACTGCTTCTCAGTGGAGAAATGTTAAAATGCGACTTAGTTTTTACTTTCTCCTATTTACTTTTTAGGTACTGAGGAATGAATCCAGAGTTTCATACTAAGCTATCTCCCCAGGCCTTTAAAAGAATTATATTTTGAGACAGGGCTTGCTAAATTGCTAAGCTGCCCAGACTAGGCTCGAATTTGAAAGTCTTTTGACTCAGAGTGCTGGCTTTACAGGAGCGGGCTACCATGCCCCACTTAAAATTATACTTTTAAAAGACTGTGTTAATTAGAGAAGGATATATATCAGGTACATGGTTAAATATAATGTGTTTATTTCTTTTAGCTTCTGTAAAATTTACAATTTAAATTTTGGATTGATTTAATTCAGAATAGCTTTTGCCTCTTAAAAAGAAATGTTCATTGAAGGTCTGATGGTGTCTTAGATTTTTTTTCTCTTACTGAACTCTATTTATGTAATTAATCCTAATTGCCCATGAAGGACAAATTTCATATGTGTCAACTTGTATTTATCTAAATAAAAATCATTTCTAAAAATATCAGAAGCCTTTAAAATGTTCTAATATTTAGTGTTGGTAGTTATATTTCTCAAAATAAATACTAAGGTTAAAATCTAAAATGGTACTATTTAAAAATTGTCCAACTGGTAGAGAAAATTACATTTATCACTTAAGAACACAGAAAAAAGTTATAATGTTAAATTGAAGAACCATTACATAAGCGTAAATATTTATTATAATATGAACCATATAAAATAAATTTGTATGCTCATTGCTATGCAAAATAAATTCATTATGATAATAACTAAAGAATGAGCATTTAAAGTACTATTAAAAAAACTCTAAAATGCTAACTTGGCTTGCATAAAGCATGAAGATAGATCCTTTTTTCTTTATATTATTTTCCAAATTTCTATTATACTGAATATGTATTACTTTTATATTTAGAAAAACAAAAAAGGCCATTTCAATTGAAATTGGCATAAATACAGCTCTAATTTTTGCCAAAAAGGAAGGCATTAAAGAATGAAGAGAGAAGGAGGGGAGACTGAAAGAGAGGAGCGGCAGAAGCTCTTGGATGGATGTGGCGTCAGGCCCAGATGGAAATGATAGAAGTCTCCCCAGCCCAGGATCTCAGTCAGACTCCTCTGTGTGGTGACCTCATTTTTTCCCATCTTGCAGGCTGCCGGAGAAGTAGGTTGCCCGCAGCTCTAGGCCTACATCATCTGCTTTGGGACTCTCAGTGGAAAGAGAGCTCGCTGCCCCACTATCGCAGAATCAGTTCCAGAGAAGGACTTCTAAGCCCTGTCTGGGCCTCACGGCCACCCTCAGGCTAACCACAGTGTCTGGGGAATGGAGCATGGTGATCGGGTGGGCTCTGACCTATACCCACATCTCTCCCTAACAGCAACCCCAGCCCTGGAGGAGATAAATAGCATGATGTCAGCAAATCAGGAAAGATAACGGGCAGCAAAGAATGACACCATGGTTCACTGTCACCCTTCACGCACTTGTTTTCCACGCATGTGATGACGAAACAAAGGTCTTTTACTGAATTTAAAGCTGTATTGCCATGTGCAGAGCATCTCTCAGCGGGATGATCCAGTCTCACTCGGTGACCGCACTGTTTCATCAAAGTCTAGGAACTCTAGGCCACGTGCTTCCCTCTTGGTCAGGTGGTGGTGGTGTCCTCACGGCCTTTCCAGATAAATGTCATCTAAACCTGCTTCTCCTCCGGTCGTGGAATCAGTTCTCCAACGAGTCCGTCTTGTTGACATGGATCTGCACATGTGAGGGGCAATCTCCGGTGCCTATGGTGTTCCAGGACCGCGCTATCTTAGTTCCTAACTTCTGGTTGGTCTGATTACAGGACCTGAAGATTGCCTTAACTTTGAACGATCACAAACTCTTTTCTAAGTTGGGGTTTTGTGGCAATGCAACTCCCTTTGTACTTCAGCTGAATTTTTTTCCTGTTTTATTTCTGGGGATTTCACAGACGAGGAACCAATACCAGAGGTTTTACCTCTCTCTTCCTGTGTCTTAGCAACAGATTTCAGCTTTACCCATCCTTCAGGCTGTCATAACGGCTAATCTGTTCCTAACTGTATCTCCTGGGGAATATTTTGCCACAAGTATGAATTTCAGTTGTTTAGCAAGGAACAGCAGCATGGAGAGAAGGGCAAAGAAACAGACTTTTCTAATTCGTAGGTTCTAACCAAGTTCCCAGCAGGCCTCTGGTCTCTCTCTTTGGTATTACTTCTAAGTTGGAGCACAGGATTTAGACTTTTCAGAGTTCAGTGAGATTTGACCCTCAGTGGTCCTAAACTGCTGGCCATTGCTCTTCTTTTAGGCAAATGAGTTTAGGTTCAAGCCTGTCCCTTCCCTCCAGCCTACAGGGCTTCCTCCTAACATCTCCATATTTCTGTCATTCGGTGTTTGATTGGAGTTGGGTTGTACGCTCACCTCTGAAGAAACAGAATTCAGTAGTAAATGGAGGAATGGAAATATATGCTGAAGTAGACTACAAACTACAATCTTACCTTTATTTTAAAAAGAAATTAGTGTTGCATATACAATTTTTCAAAGCTAGAACTGTAAATGCATGATATTTAGGGACACACCCTGATTTTTTTGAGACAGGGTCTCACTATGCAGTTCAGGATGGCCTTGGGCTCACTTTGTAGCCCAGGCTGGCCTCAAACTTGCAAGGATCCTCCTGCCTCAGCTTCCCAAGTGCTGGGATCACAAGTGTGTGCCACCACACCAGGCAACACATCCTAATGTTTAAATATTGCAACGTTCTGGGTGTGGTGGCACATGCCTGTAATCCCAACATTCAGGAGGCCGAGGCAGGATGAATACCATGAGTTCAAAGCCAGCCTAGGTTGCACAGTGAGTTCAAGGCCAGCCTGAACTATACAGGGGAATCCTGTCTCAAAAAACAAACACGCCCATTCCTGTGCCCCTTTAACACTGACATAGTGCCTTAAGAAGCTAACACAGAAGGGTAAAGGGACCCTCCATAGAACCCAGAGAAGAGACTGAAACTCTTTGAATCTTGTGTGAAGTCACAGCGGAATCAAACAAACAAACAAACAAAAACCACCACCACCACCACAACAGAAGAATGATCTCAAATAGAATAAGAAATCAGAACCAGAGTACAAGAGCTGGATGTGGTGGTGCACCCCTGTAATCCCAACGCTTCAGAGGCTGAGGAGAAGGGTTGTGATTTCAAGGACACCCTGGGCTGTACAATGAGTTCAAAGCCAGCCTGAACCACAGAGTCAGACAATGTCTTAAAACTTGAGACAGCAGGCTTGATGTCAATCTAAGATACATAGTGGTAACATCTTATTCAACTAGGATATGTTTATCAAAAGTAGGAAATTAATATTTGCATATTATTAGCTAAATTAACTAATGTATCTTTGCATAGTATTAACTAAATGTAAGACTATACTGATTTTTCTCAACATTTACTAATGTTCTTTTTTTTATTCTAGGATCCAATCCAAGATAGTACATTGTGCTTAGCCTGCTAAATTTTGAAACAGATTATCTTTGCAAGTAATATCCAGTTAAACTATGACAATTATAAAGAGTGTGGCATTTTAATATTTAAGATAAACTGTTCATTAAGATGCCACTTGTATTGTGATTATGAGCTCCTCCAGGAAGAGGCTCTATTATTTGCTTGGCACATTTTAGCTATATATAGTTTCACACATCTTCTCCAGGATGTGATCACAGCAGGCAGAACTGAAAGTCTGAAACATTCAAGGCATTCTAACTTTTAGTGGAAAACAATCTCATTGTTTCCTAATATAATTAGTAGGTTAGGATCTTATTCCCAAGACAGCTATAAGAGCTATATCATTGTAACTTATTAATACATTAGAAGCGTGACCCAAACATTATTTTCCAGCCACAGAAACCACAAAAGATCTCACAATCAGACTCTTACTCAGCAGACCTCTAGAGGGAAGAATGCTTGCCAACAAAACCCAAACCTCTTTCTAGAAGTAACATCTGGGATAATTTGGGGGAAAGTAAAGTTAATTTATAATTTTAAATGTAAATGTAAATTCAGACCTGTGGAGGTATATTTAAGTTTTACATTTTTTCATGTATGAATTATATGAGAAACTTGTGTTAAGGTAATGATGTTTGGGTTTAATCATAGTTAAAAATAAAATAAATTTATATGTCTATCATTTTGAGAAAAATATTTTAGGTATTAAAACAAAGGAGCTATACTTAAAGCTAGTCTAAGACTTATTCAGACCAAGACTGTTAGAGAGCTTTGCCTGGTATATATTCCATCCAGTTGATACCACAAATAATACTTCCCTTTAGATGCTATTATCAATCATAGGCTGACTTGTACCATTCCTGCAGGAGGTATATTCTTCTTTCTTTTTCTCTCCCTTCTTCTCTCTGTCTCCAGCTCAGAAGAAAACAATTCAAGACTTACTTATTTTGTAAAACCCAAACAAATCAAAGACAGGAAGAATGCAATGAGGAACAACAAAATATTTTGTCGTGCAGTAGAGTATAAAGCGGGCAAGTGAAGATGTTATATATTTAGGTTTTCATTTAGCAGTTCATTTTCTGGAGGAATAAAGAACATAGAAATTTAACTTAGTAATTAACAAAAGAAAAATACAATGTTTTCATGGCACCTTATTGCTTCAGGATCACTTTTTCATATACGTTATTGAGAAGTGGCTTTATAGTGTAGGCACGGTGGACATGAGTGTTGACACAAAGTAAATAACATATATTGTCCTGTGATCTTGCTTTCAAACTTAACCTTCCTTGTGATGTTTTGATTTTCCCCAGCTCCTGTGCCGAGTAGAACCTGTATTCCCTCTTTGTGCTCTCACGACACGTGACCAATTGATTTTATTTATTTCCATGACAATGCTTATTACATTGTCACTACTTTCAGGGGCATCATCTTATTCAACTTCTTACAAAGAATGACAGTAGTCTGCTCTGAATCCATTTATTGAAGTCTTAATAGCTAGCAATGATATTTGGAGACTGGGAATTGAAAGAGGTGACTGGATTAAAACGAGGCTGTGAGTGTACCCAACCCCATATCACTGTAGCTTTTTAAACAGAGAAAGTCACACTCACAATCACCCACGATATGTGCCAAAAAAATCAAACCTGAGAACTCTTTGATCCTACACTTCCAGCCTCCAGAACTGTGAATGTTTTAGTTCAAACCACCCGGTCTGGTTTTTGTTACAGCAACCCTCAGGAATTAATACAGATAGTCACAGGTGGATCGCATTTGCTAAGCGCCTCAAAAGTGATGATAGTTTTTATGTAATTGAAAACTAATAATGTATGTATATTTCGTATGTAGATTATTTCTGCACACACTTCAAGTTTTAGGAAATTGTGTGTGCATTCGTGTTTCCTTTGGACTAATCTTCAAGTTGTCTTTGTGAATTTTTGTTTCTTTGTAAGGCAGTTCAATGAACCATTTGTTTTAAGTGTTATAATTCAGAATTTTTGAAAGAATTCTTACCCATTACAAAAATTCCTATCATGAATACAGTTGGTTTCCTTAGGCAAATAATTGTGTTCTACAATTCAATTACATGGACATTTTATTCAGGTACAGGGCATAAAAAACTTTCAGGATTCAAATTAATTCAGAAAGAAGTAGCTCTGGATTTAAATTTTCTATTAATTTTTAATAAATTTTGATTATTTTTCACAATTCTTTTAATTTTTATGATAGATGTAGAGTGAGGAAATACAGTAAGAGCTAATACTTTTTGTATAACTACAGAGAAAAATTCTACAGGAAAATTAAGTCATAAAAGTTTGGTCTTATCTGTATGATTTGTGGAATCAGCAGCATAACTGGGCCCACTTCACTCCCTGCTCTTACTCTGCAAAGGCTTCCCCTGATGTTTGTGTCATCTTGAGGACCCTGAATGGTCAGTCGATCTTCAAGGGTTCATTTTCCATTTTTCCCTTTTCTTTCTGTGCTTTGCCAAGAAACTTCCTTGAGGAGCCTAAAACAGGGTAAATTAATTCCTTCTCCCCAGAAATCTCCTTTTCCTGACAGCCCCACGACTCTCCCTGTCCCTTCACTCCAGTCTGTGCCCCTGGTTGGGACTTCTGTAATCATTTGGGTAAAGCACGTCTCTTGTCATGGTCTGTCTCCTTACCTATTATTAGTTTTTAGAGCTTTTATTAATATTTGAGCATTATATCTTTGTTCATCTGTTTGTTATCTCTTTGCTACTAGAATTTTAACTTCTTAAGGGCAAGGACTTTGTTAAATGGATAAATATTTGTGGTGTAAAGTCTGAGATGACAACTTTCAATCATCCTTAATGATATAATGATGATGCAATAAACAGTCAACTAATGCTGAGGAGCTCTATCATGGCACACATTGGGTACACCATGCCACGTCCCAGATCTCTGCATTTGTTACTTTGCACTGTGTAGTTAACCTTTTGGAGAACACCTGTACTGCTCTGAAGTTTCATTTACCTGTCAGATCTGCCCTAGTCATCAGGAGCAAAACCTCCAGTAACACTATCCCAGCAAAATATCACACCGTGCGCCATGTGTATACTTAACATTTCCTAGTAATAGAAATATGTCTAATAATGGTAGTTATATTTTTTTTAAAGTAAAAAGGATAATATTTATTTATTCAGCCCAGTATGTCCAAAATATTGTAATTGCAATATGTAATCGTTAAAATTTATTTGTAATGAGATATCCTATTTTGAAAATTTGTCTTTAGATTCCAGTGTATATTTTACATTGGCAGCATATCACAATTTAGATGACAAAGTTTGATAGCTAAAGAAAAATGTAGTTCTACCAAAATAATAAAGTTGTTTGTAATGCAAAGGTATTTTACATTGTTTCAGTTTTAAAATTTGGTAATGTAATAAACAAATAAATAAAATTAACAAATTGGCTGGCCAATACCAACCATATAGCAAGCGCTGCACAGCAGCACGTGGCTGGTGGGTTCGCTACCAGGCAGTGAAGGAGGCACAATTTGAGAGGCTGCCTCCAGGCTACGCCTGATTGGAGCAGCAGCAGTCCGCCCCAAAGCAGCCGAACCAATCAGACTCTCCCTCCCAGGATTTTGAATTTGAACTGAGACACAAGGAGACTGGCGAAGCTGGGTACCTAGTCGCGGTAGTGGCGGAATTCCAAAGGGGAGGTTTGCGCGCAGCTGCTGACGAGGTCCCCACAGCCTCCCAAGCGTCCACCCTCCGTAGTCGGTTATTCGGTTCTTTGGATTCTAAGAGACAGACGAATATGTTTCCGATACATTTTTTCTGTTTATGCCAGTTCAAGATGATTTCTATTGCTTGTGATGGTATTAAATAAATGAAGAAAATCTTGACAAATAAATTTCTCTAAAAGGAGATACATAAAAGAGCACACTTATCCAGAAGTACATACATTTATAGAAAACTGCCTTAGGAAAAACTCTAATTGTCCAGGGTGTTAACAACGCTTAACAAAATAAAGCATACTGCAGATAATTCAAAATAATAAAGTGTTTAAAAAGGAGCATTTATTTGATTTTGGAATGGATTTGTGGGAATTGGATGGGTGGGAATGAGGGCAGAGCAAAAATAAGACACAGATTCCTAATTGTTTTACAGAGAATTTAATCAGCATGAATTTTCCAAGAATGATGCTGATCACACAGCAGGTGCTTGATAAATGCATGTTGATTAATGTGATTTGGAATACACCAGCTGTCAGTGAAAGAATGGGGTCCACAATCAAACCATTTGACAGAAGAAAGCCAGGATGGCTTTTAAAATGAGTAATAACATGGCATTGCAGATACAAATAATCTAGAGATGATGTTGCCGCCCTTGAGGTCCTTCCTAGATGAGAACAAGATAATCATACTCTGCTTTGGGGAGGGAGGCATTTAGGGTTTAAAGCTGTGAATGGAGGTAAGCACCTTTTGTAATCATTTGTTTCTAGCCCTGAGTATCTGGAAAATCTACATAGTTGTGGTGAATCTTTGGCACGCATATTTTTCTTTTAAGACAAAAGATGTGAATGTATGAGTTGTTTTTCTAAACTGAAACCTGAATACTCAGGTTTAATTGCAGTGCTGGCACGTCTCAATAACTAAGCCAGGTGTGGTGGCTCACACCTGTAATTCTCAGCATTCAGAGGCTGAGGCAGGAGGATCATTATGAATTTGAGGCCAATCTGGGCTATAAAGTGGGCTCAAGCCAGCCCGAACTGCATAGTTAGACCCTGTCTTGAAAAATCACACACACACACACACACACACACACAAAGTGGGTTTTGGGCTGCAGTTCGGCACTCACCTCTAAGAGGTTTGCCATCCCTGGTCTAGAGCTGCAGGGATGGAGTCTGAGGCCAGGAGGGTTAGGAGGAACGTGCACAGTCATGAGTAATCTGCCCTGATCCTGGAAAGTTTTGGTTTTCCCTCCTCTTAGCATCAGAAACCAGTATTTAAATTCCACAAGTCTGAGGTGGGGTATGAATTTCCAGGGTGTATTTTCTGCCTGACTCTTTTTCTCCAGCCACATTTAACTGCTGGCTCGAACACAGGGAAAGAATTGTTTTTAACTCATCCTGGAGTTTGGCTATAAAGTACAGCAAAGCGAAAGAAAAGTAAGTGATGTGACAGTGTGTGCCAAGGCGTAGTTACAGTGGAGGACTGCAAAGTGTAGGCAGAGACGTGGGCACACATGAGGGGTGCAGCAGGGCGCGGCGCCGATGCCCGGGTCAGAGGGAGCCTGGCAGCCAGGCGGGCGGGAGCCAGGAGGAGCCGCAAAACAGCAGGTAGACTTGACGGGTCTAAAAACAAGGAAGCTGGAAAATGCAGTCTCATGTGGGGACAGTCGGGAAGTAAACGGGCCTAACCTCTTTAGGGGGACAACATGGAAATATACAGCATATAAGACACACTGTTTGGCAATTATTTTTCCCAGAATTCATAGAACAGTTGTACTTGCGTAAAAATAGCATGGGTTTTTAAAAGAAGTTTGTAACAGCAAAAGATCAGAAAAAACTTAAATACACACTAGTAGCTGGCTTCTTTTTTTTGATGCCAGGGATCAAACTCACGACCTTGTGCTTGCCAGGCAGGCACTCATGCCACTGAGCTAAACCCCCAGCTCTAGGTGGCTTCATGACTAAGTTATGATACTAGTATACTATATAGCCATTTCAAAAGTAAGAATTTTGAGGGGCTGGGGATTTAGCTCAGCGGCATAAGCGCATCCCTTACAAGCAGGCAGTCGTGAGTTCGATCCCTGGTACCGATAAAAACGAAAAAGACAAAAAAAAAAAAAAGTAAGAATTTTTTTTAGAAAATCATCATTTAAAGACTTTAGTACAATTGAGAGGCCAGGATCATCAGTTCATGTTAGAACCATGAATGAAAGAAAGATGGTCAGGAGACAAAATATTTACACAGTCTCAAAGAAACAATCCGTATCATGAATAGTATGGTTGAAATCTAAATGTCTTCCAAAAAGTTCTTTGTGGTGAAGACTTGGCTGTCAGCTGATAGACTTTGGGGAATGATTGGTCATGAGGGCTCTGACTTCATCAAGTGGGTTTTCCACTGATGAGTTCGTGGGTTGAATGGGCTTTTAACAGGCAGCTGGCGAAAGTTACTGAAACGCACCTTTGTTTACCTTGTTCCCGGGCTCGCTCTTCCTCTTTTCTCCAAGTCTCTCTGCTTCCTGGCCACCATGAAGTTAGCAGCTTTCTTGTGCCAAACCCTCCTGCCATGATGCTTCTGCACTGGAGCCAGCCTCCCTGGGCTGAAACTTCTGGAACTATGGCCAAAATAAGCCTTTCCTCCCACGAGCTGCCCTTCTCAGATATGTGTCCACAGTTACAGAAGGCTGACTAACACAACTGACTGGCACAAACTGGCTTTATGGTTCTGATATGATACAGGTGGAGATACAAATTGTTATGATAACTCTCGGAAAAAATGTTTAATGTGAATCTAACCATAATGAATGAATTAGATAACTCTAGAATTTGAACCTAAAAAATATAAATGTTATGAAAGATTTTAAAAAAAGAGTAATGAAAGAGACTAAAGAGATATTTCTAATACATGCAATGAATAAGATTGGGTTAATTCTGGTTAGAAAAAGCGGTTCTGAAGGTCATTTGGGAGGAAATTTATACTAGATAGTATAGAATTGATATTAAATTTCTGATAATGAGACGGTAGGTCTTTGTAACAAAATGTCCTTGCTCCAGGAGAAACGTGGGAAGTGGTGAATTAGTGTTGGCATTTCCAAATGACTCAGCGAAGTTCCGTTAGGAGAAAGTGGACTACATGTTTTCATTATCAACCCTACTGCTATGATTTTTCATGTGTGTGATTATTGTGATAAAATGGTTTAAAATAAGGAAATTTTACTAAAAGTAAGTGGGAATGACTTGTAATCCACAGTTCCTGAACAAGCCCAGTAACAATCTAGTATTTAAATTGTATCCATATCCAAAGAAGTCCCAGGTTGGACATGGAGACACAAGCCTGTTAATCCCAGCACTCGGGAGACTGAGGTTCCAGATCACCAGAAATTTGAGGCCATCCTGGGCTATATTGTAAATTCAAAACCAGCCTGCATTACATAGCAAAACCCGGTCCCCTCCCCTCCCAACGAATAAACCAAACCCAACACAAAAACAAGCCAGAGAAATTTCAGGATGAGATTGGTTATTATTATCACATGAACATCAGAAAAGCCTCATTGGAGGGAGAAAGAGATGGTAGAGAAAAAGGAAGACAAAGAGACAGACAAACATGCAGTTGCTCAACTGGGTGTAGTGTGGCTCACGCCTGTGATCCCAGGAGGCTGCAGCACGGAAGACTGCTGGGAGTTTGAGACCAGCCTTGGCTACAAAACGAGCTCACGGCCAGCCTGAACTACACAGCAAGATCCTGATTCAAAAGGACAAATAAAAAAAACAAAAATCAGACAAAAGATGTTACTCACATTTATTGTTTGGCTATAAGAGGTAATCTTGAGCATGGCACAGTGTATTAATCCTATTATTCTCTACCCAGCTGTGTCCCAGCAACATGAATCTGGGCCTAATCTCTGTGGAGAGATGGCTGTTAACTTAGGAAAGGGCGAGTGAAATGTCTAGATTCTCTGAGATGTGGGGCCCACAGAGCAACACTGCGCCTATAAACATGAGGAAGTGAGAGGCTGCACGGTGGGCCTCTCAGCAGATGAGGGAGAATCCTCCTGGCTACCAGGGTCCTCTCATAAAGGCAGACTCAGCCCAGTGAGTTCTGAGGGAAAAACGAGACTGCAGTGCTGGGGACCAAAGCCAGGGCTTCAGGAACTCTAGGCAAGTGCTTTAGCGCTAAGTCGTATCCCCAGACCTATTTTCTTCAAGTTATTAAAACCTATCATAGCTACAGTCTGCTGTGACCTATAAAAACATGATAAGCATAGCTGATTTTATAGAAAAATGCATTAAGGGAGATCATCAGCACTCTACTATGATTAAAAATACATTTAAAAATGAAAAACATAAATTCTATCACAGTAAGTCTCAAATATAATCCAATACTAAAAATCAAGTTTTGAATTGGCAGATGCAAGGATAAACCTGATTATAGCATTCGAAGGGATACCATGGAGGTAAAGTATATTACTGTTTTTTGTTATTTCCTGATTTCCCTGTAAAAACATTGTGGTTACCAATTCGTTCCTGTTAAATACAGCAGATGGCTTTCTCTGGCTTATGGAATATGTGCAGAAGTGATGTATCCTGAGCATCTGAACACAAAATGTAAAATACACCCGATTCAGCCCAGAGACTGAATGTTTCACCACTTGAGAAAGCCTTGTCTGCATCAAAGCTAGAGACAGAGCTAGAAAACTGTTGTGCCAGGAAGTTATCTTTTTGTGCTGGACTGAGGATCCCAAGGGAAAAGCTAAAATGATTTAGTCAACAGGGCTTCGGCCAGTAGCCTTATGGGTGTGTTTTCTATCAGTGTAATAATATATTACCAAAACATTCAATGGATTAAAATGACACGAATTTGTACCCTACACTTCTGAAAGTCAGAAGTCAGAGACAGGTCTGAGTTCCAGTCAAGAAGCCCCCAGGAGTGCTCCTTTCTGGGGGCGTCATGGAGAATCCGCTTTCTTGTTTTGCTCACCTTGAAGCTGCCCACCTCCTTGCTCCATGGCGCTTTGCTGCACGTTCAAAGCCCACAGGCTGCACCTTCTTTGTCCCCAGGCTCCTTTTCCTCTGACTGCAGCTGGGAGGGAAAGCCCTTCACTTTTAAGGATGCGTGTTACCAGACTGACCTCCCCCGAGGAGCAGTCTCATTTCAGAATCCTTAATCTTGGTCGCATTTGCAAAGTGACGCATGTGTACAGGTTCCAGTTTTGTTAAACCAGCACTGCCACACCTGCCTGTGCACGGTGGGGCAAAGGAACTGAAGACAGAATGTCTGTGAAAGGACCCGTGCAGGGCCTCTGTGTAATGCTCCGTGATATTTTTGGTGGTACTAGCGAATGAATTTAGGACCTCCACGTGGGGATCTCCAGGACTATATTCATGTCTTATTTTGAGATGGAGTCTCACTTAATTGCTAAATTTCCCAAGCTGAGCTTAGACTTGCTGCCCTTTCATCTCAGCATCCCAGAGTACCGGGACTAGAAACATGTAACAAACACCACTCTTAACTGTGTTTACATGTTTCTCCTATCACTTCCAAGGAGACAAAGAGGACGTTCAAGCCATACAAACTAATACAACCATGTAGCGCTCCAATGTTTCCTAGGAGATTTAACTATAAAATAGGTTGACTTCCTCAGGCCCAGCAGTAGTGGAAGAGAATTGTTCATGAATTTAAGAAATGTATCTAATAAAAACATTTTTCCTTTCATTGCCATAAAAAAATTCAATGCATGTATATGAAGTTATTTTATTATATTTTTTTGAGACAAGGTCTTGCAATGCAGTTCAAGCTGGCTTTGAGCTCACTTTGCATCCCGGCCTGGTCTTGAACTCACAATGATCCCCCTGCCTTAGCCTCCCCCATGCTGAGATTACAGGCATACACCACCACACCTGGCTATTTTATTGTCTTTGTAAACATTAATTTTCATTGGCTTTGTAGTATGCAGTTCATGATGACAGCAAGGGGTAGCTTTTAAAAATGAAATTCCAGGAATGTATTCTAACTTTCATAACTCCAAGTCATTTCATAATTCTAGAAAAAAGTCAAGGTGATATTCCACCAGAAACAATAATAAATTTAATGTGTGTGTACATTCATACATACATACTAGTAAGAAGAAAAACTCACTTTGAAAACTATTGTATTGCACTTTAAAATTAAGTGTGCTTTACTATGTAGTAGAAATTTCAAAACCATCTTTGAAATAATCTCTACATGTTTACCATAACAGCAATCATCCTTTACAGCATTTCTCTTAAATATTTCAACTTAAGAAATAGGAATTAGAGCAACCTGCTTGCCTCCCTGGTAAGCAGCCATGGATCGGGCAAGCAGTGGCCGCCCCAGCGGAGAACCAGCCAGCGTCTCCAGAGATCCATGCCATGTTGGAACTTAGGGCGCTGGGAAAGGAAGCAACCTGCTTGCCTCCCTGGTAAGCAGCCTGAGCCTACTGGCATGTGAGCTGAGAATCTAACATCCCATCCACCCCCCACCCCCGTTAGCAAATGAGAGCCAGAGTTCTGAGCATCTCTTGGGAGGCTGACTATATGCAATATGGCAAATAAGGGGGATTTCCTTCTACCATCTCTTTGAAGGCAAATATTGCTAGCACTGTTTTGCTTTGTTCTGATTAATTGTACTGCCCTATTCAATTTTCTGTTTTGATAAGTTCTATTATGTTCTGTATTTCATTTGATTTTGCTATACCTGATTGAAAGAACAACTATTGTAAAGATAACAAGATATACCATGGTACCTATTACTGATATCCCTGTGTCTTGCTCTGAAGTTCTGTACCAATTTCACTGCACTGTCTCACTTGGCTTTGTTCTGTCTTGTTCTGTTGTGTTTTACTACCTTCAAAATAAAAATAAAAGAAATAGAAGTTAACATTTTTTTTAGTTATATAATTATAGTCACAAAATTCCAGTAAATTCTAATAAAGCACTCTGAGTCAGAGTAAGGTCAGAGGCAATTGAAGTTAAAGCTGATTCTACGTTAGGTATCAAATGATGGTACCTGAGTCTTTTTTTTTTTTTTAGACAGGTTCTTACTGTGTAGTCCAGGCTGGCCTGAGCGCCCGGCGGTCCTCATCCTGTTTCTTGAGTGCTGGGATTGCAAGTGTGTGCCACCATGCTCAGTGGTATGCTAGTCTTTTACAAATGCTTGTGGGTATGCCTACGTGGTATACCAAAATAAGTTAATCTGGGAACACAACTCTTGTGATGGTGTTTCAACAAGTTATCTAAAGATATTGAAGTCTGCTAAATCATGTAGCTTTTGCACTTTTGGTAACTTACTTTTCTTCCATTCTAAAGGAAACTACATTAATTAGTAAGACAGATTTTTGTTGTTATAAATCTCATTAACTTGTGCTGTTTAGACAGAAAGTTTTTGTTTCCTTTTGCTGTGAGCGCTGGAAATTGAATCCAGGCTCGTGCACATTCCAAGTAAATGCTTTGCCACTGAGATGCAACCCTAGGCCAAATGGAAAGGTTTTCTTTGTGGTCCTCTTCTCTCATTCCCAATTTTGAAAAGGAAAAGTTTGAAAGTTTCCTGGTTGAAAAGATGAATTATGTTTCAGAGTCTATGCTGGCTTTTCATCAAGTTAATTGTCTGTGTGTCTGCCCCCAGACAGGTTCTGCACGGCCACTTTTCTTCTTGTTAGCTCCTGCTGACTTCTTACCTTGGTCGAGTGCTACTGTCGTCCTAGTAAGTCTCAACAACAAGATTTCCCGAGAGGTCCGGTGTGGTGGTGCACACCCAGGGAAGGGGCTGAGGCAGGAGCACCGCTGTCAGTCTGAGGCCAGCCAGGCTACAAAGTGAGTTCAAGGTCAGCCCAAACTACATATTGAGACCCTGTCTCAAAGAGAAAAAAAATCCCAAGAAAGAAACAGGAGAGATTGATTAGTACTACACGCTTCTTCAATCCCTTCAGAAGTAATTTTCTGTCGAATGTGACCGCCTGGAAATTATTTAACGTTCACCTAATTAACAGACACTGTTATTGTGCCTGTTATGTTTTGATTGGCTCATTCCTGCCTTGCACTGCTCTGCTTTATAACGGAAGGTCTGATGCCTCTGTGCTCCATTTCTCCAGATCCTTACCAATTAGTTTCGAGTTTGACTGTAGGAGTTACTGGTGGGAGAAAAGAGTTCATTCTGGCCTGGCACAGGCGGAGGAGGTGTTTCCTTGGCAGATTTGGTGCTGGCTTTATGGCTCCTCTTCCATTGCAGCGGAACTCCTGCTCTGGGCGCACAATGAGCTCGAAATGCGTAGTGGACGCTCTCATCCCTGGGCAGCATTCCTTCCTTTGTCTCTACTCTGACCCTTCCAAGACCTTTGCAAATGTTTTCCAGAGTTAAAGTCTCTTTTTTTCCAGCTAGGTACAGTGCCAGGTATCTGTAATCCCAGGTACTTGGTAGGTGAACCATAATTATCATAAATTCATAGTCAAGATGTGCAAAATAATGACAACTCATCACACACACACAAACAACTCACCTCCTTCTGAACTAAGTAAAGTGATTTATTTTCCTGACTTATCTGCTTGCATTGATTATGGATTAAGTTATTCCCACTGCCATGATAGCTTTGGAAAACCAACATGTTTTAAGTTTTTCCACACCTTCTCTGGAAAACTGTCCTCCTCTAAACTCTTATTAGTCACATTTTATATACTCTTAGTTCTAATCACATGGCTCTCCACTCAAATGCAATGCAGCCAGTATTTTGGCTTGTTCCATGGTGCACACAGGATCCCCAGAGTGTTTTCTGAGTACCTAGAACATGGCTGAAGGCAGCAGTGAAAGTCCTTGGCCTTTGGGCAGTACACAGAGCTAGGTTTATCTACTGCTTAGAGATATATGCCAGACTGAGGCCGTGGGTTCTAGTGGTTACCTGAAATTTGCAAGTCCAGAAAATGTTCAGGCAACAGAAGGTGTCGGTATAATTTCAGGTGCCATGGTGGTTTAGGTGCTGACCTACCTAGCTCTTCGTCTGTTTGCCAAATAGTTCAAGCAGCACCATTTGTGGGTTTTGATTCAAGACCAGGAAGTTGGATAAGAAACTTCAAAAGGTATGGTGTCAATGGAGTTTAAAATTCCTATGGGTAGTTCAGGCCACACTGGAGAGGGTATCTATGGCTGTCAAGACTTCTGGACTCCTCAGATTTTCCATGCAAGGACCAGGTAATACATTTAGCCGGGTGAATCTTTACTTCATGTCTTTTTACCCTTGATGTCTCTTTTGCTCACTGTTCTCTCAGGGAACAATGACGTGCCATATATATTTACTTTCTCAGTGAGCCAACATTAAATTCCTATTTTATTTCCCTAATAGCAACACAGTAATAATCTCTTCAAAAGTTTCAGAAGTTTATGACAACAAATTTTGAACCCTCTTAAGGTGACTTTGCATATAACAAAATCTTTCCCAATTATCCATGCATCTCAGACTACAGATTGCTTTCTCTAAATTGATTTGCACGAGATTCTAGAATGTGATTTGCTAATGGTCTTCCAACTTGGCTAGCAAAGGTCCTTTATTTGTTTGTGAGAGCCCAGTAGTCTCAACCTAAGGAAGTCTTGAAATTCAGTGAACATAAACTCAGTAGGTATTACTTTTGGTTAAGAAACAGACAACAAAAGAAACTTCTTTTTTGGAAAATAAAGAATTCAGTAAAATTCTTTGATATATATTTCTTTTATATATATTTCATTTCACTTAAATATAAATGAAATAACATTCATAGATATCAATAATATTCATTTTAAAATATGCAACTAGAAAAGAATCTTAATAGCAGCAGAGGTGGAAATGTTAATGATCTTTAGTGCAAAATATAATACCAGAGGTGAGGGTACAGCTAAGCAGTAGAGTGCTTGCCTAGCATGCGTGAGACCCTGGGTTCAGGTCCTAGCATCATGCACACGCGTGTGCACACACACACACACACACACACGCACACACACGGCTGGGACTGGAAATACAGGTCAGGAGTGTAGCACTTTAAAGAACACTAGAATATTTTAATGAAAGCTATTAACTGTGAGAAAAGTGATAATATGTTTTTAAAAAACTAATGTCTTAATAATGTCATGTACCACCTAGATCAAAAATCCAATAAAATAATTTGGGAGAACTTGACAAAAATTCTGAATATTATATGGAAAAATAAACATGTGAGGATAGTTAATATCCTTTGCTATCATAAGGCTAATATTACATTGGTTTATAAAATGAAAAGATTTTACAAAGCAAAACCAAAAGGCAATCTCATATTTTGTATTATTTTATGTAGTACATTATTTTGTTAGTAAAATGCTTTCTCTTTTTTTCTACTACTAGGGATTGAACCCAGGAAGAGCCAAACTATACCCCCTGGGTTGTTTGTGTATTTGGTTTTTTTTAAATTTCACTTGAGCTGGGCATGGTAGTGCAGTCCTGTAATCCCAACCATGAGGCAGAAGCAGGAGGATTGCTGTGTGGCAAATTCAGTGTCAGTTTGGGCCACATAGTGAGCTCGAGGCCAGTCTGAACTACATAGCAAGATCTTGTCTCAAAAAACAACCAAAGAAACAAATTTAAAAAATTAACTTGAGACAGTCTAAGTCTCCCAGGCTAGCTTTCACCTTGTAATCCTCCAATTTCAGTCTCCCAAGGAGCTGGGATTACAAGCAAGTGCCTCCAAGTATGAAGCAAAATATATCCTTAAAATATATATACACTTCAATTTTTACATTATAGTTTGCAAATTGGTGAGGCTTGATGTAATAAGATTGCACCTTATGAAGATGTGAACTAACCTGCTGAGTTCCTATTTGAATGCGGCAATCTGTCCCTTGGTGAGGATTTTATAGGTTTTTTCCTGACCTTGCTGGTACTGGCTTCCCCCACCAGACTCAGGATCTGCCCAGGCAATTTCTACAATGATAGAGTTTGAATTTTAAGTATACAGCCAGTGCTGTATTTCAATGCTTTCAATATTTGGATGCAAATCACAATTTCATTTAAAATTAGTCTTCAGCTTTTTATAATTAGGCATCTAGCATTTTTATTAAACACTGACATTATGACTGAGAAGATTAATTAGTGAATAATGAAGCTTTAGTTTTAATAGGATAGTTGTTCCAACCTCTAAAAAATATTTTTCATACCTGTTAAATGAACGATAATTCATGAAAATAATTCTTTGATCCTCAGACCATTTAAAAACCATATTTTAAAACTATATGTTCACATAGTTCCTACAGAAATATCAGAAGCAACATATAGAATGTTATTACAATAGTATAATCACCAAATCTTAAAAATTTTAATAATAATGGAGCCAGATGTGGAAACAACTGTAAAACTGTTTTATACTGCAACGCGTATTTTTAGCAAGTTTAAAGTGTAATTATAGTAATGGACTGGTGAAATGGATTCATCTTTGAAAAGCAGTTCAATGATGTAGCAAGGATGTGTTTTCCATGGTAAAGGGCCAATTCTACTCTTACAGTTCTTATTAAAATTTTTTGGAATAAAAATCACTTTTTACCCATGGCCCTTTTATTGATTTAATTATTCAAATTATATAGTACATGGCAACATGTTCTTGTTTAATATTTAAATGAAATCATCTATTTTTTTTTAACAAACTGCAAAAATTCAACAGCCTGGACCTCTTATGAGAAGCATGTTTTTCCTGCCACTGACACGTTTCTCAAAAAGGCAAAAGCAGCTCAGATAGGAGGTGTTATACCAAGTTTTGAAATCCAAGTGTAAATAATTTTGGTGAGCAGAGACTGATAACGATTCTAAGTTGTCAAAATACTGACAAGGAAAGCTGAGTTATACATAAAAAGGAAACGCTGAATAGCAAGACTTTTTTAATTTTTAGTGTACTCATACTGATTAATCTCATGCTTTGAAGCTGAATCAGTAAGGTAACTGTTAGCCACATGTGGCTACTTAAATTTAAATTAATGAAAATTTTAAAAACTTACTGTGATGGCAGATTTCCACACTGCAGGTACTCTGAAAGCTGAGGTAAGAGAATCACAAGTTGGGGGTCTGCCTGGGTAACAAGGTCAAGGTGTGCCTATCCATAAATACAAGGCTGGGACCGGAGCCCTGCGCTAGGGTACCTGCCTAGCACACAGGAGGTCCTGAATTGGTTTAATAATAATGGAGCCAGAGGATTTTATAGGTTTTTTTCTACTACTAGGGATTGAACCCAGGAAGAGCCAAACTATACCCCCTGGGTTGTTTGTGTATTTGGTTTTTTTTCGATCGAACTTACATAGTTTTATAATAATAAAATTCAGTTCCTTAGCTGCACGAGCCACGTTTCAAATCTTCAGGAGTCACAGTAGATGCAGAGAAATACTGGACACAGAAATAAAACATTTTCATCATGAAAATTCTGTTGGACAGGCGGCTTGGTGTGTGATCAGTCATATGTAAAAGGGTCATCATTATGTTTTATCAATGTTATTCATCTGGAAGTTTACCACAGTTTTTTTTAATCAGCCAATTCATGAATTATTTTTTAGAAGCAAGATATACAATTAGATACAATAAGTCAAAATTTTTGTTGCTTTTTTTGTCCCCAAAACTTCCCTGAAATATTAATACCTTCAAGATAGTAAGAAGCAATAATGTTTTATTGCAAATATCATTTGCCAGCTCCCAAGATATACAGTAACTTATTGGGAAAAGAAATATGCAGTGACTTTTGACGGTATAATATTTCAAGTGCTGAATCACTGGCCGTGATTCTGTTCTTTCCTTGACTGAGCAGAACAGCTGAGAAAAGCAAAAGCTTTTGTCTGCTTTTATGTAATCATGTAACCCATGGCATGCCCCGTCAGAAATAACTTTCTACAGCGGGTTTAGCAAGCATTTCTAGAACATGTTGTTGTTGAAAAATAATCTTCACTAAAGTACTTTAAGGTTTCAAATTATAAAATGTTTTTATTGTAATATAAACATTTATCTACTTCTTTTCTCCTTTTAAATTTCAAAATAACATTCTTCTTGGAAATATTTAAGGGATATAATAATATAGAAATAGATCAAAGTCGTTTACTATAGAACATAAAGCAGAAAATGTTTCAATATTTCTAGGTATTTTATAAACTAAACATTACTCTGGTCTTATAATCTAATAAAGATGTAGTACACACATGCACGCACAGACACACAGCAGAAAGAAATTAGTTAGATAAACTTTTGCAACACAAATCTTACTGTGAATATTAGATATAAAACCATTAAAACTTTAGCATACATAGACCAAAAATACATTAGGATTTTAATCCATCGAGGTCAAGAAAAATTTATAACAGAATTGAAAACTGATGATATAAGGAAATATATTCATAAAATGGTCATTTTAATTATAGAAGAACAATTATATGACTCTTTAAGTAAATAATGTAAAGCCACCCAGGAGATTCAAAACTCACTTATATTCTTAATAAAAATATAATGCTATATAAAATTAAAATAATAATTAGGAATTATGCAGTCTTTTTATCATCAAATGTTTCATATTGCTGTGTCATTTTTAGCCAATCCAATGAAATAAAAAACATAAAAAAAAAATACTAACCCAGGTGGGGTGGTGCATACCTGTAATCCCAGAACTCAGTAGGCTGAGGCAGGATTGTTGCGTGTTCAAAACCAGACTGGACTACAAAGTGAGCCCAAGGCCAGCCTGAAAAGCATAGTGAGACCGTTTCAGAAAGACCAAAAAAACCAAATAACAATAACCAAAAAGCCCCAGTAAACAGTAGAAAGGCAAAACTTTGTGACACTTCAGATTACATAACCACATAGAAAGAAAACCCTAACGATCAACCCATAGCTATTAGAATTAATGAGAGTAAATGTTTCTGTAGGATAAAAATTTAATTAGAGCTAATAGAAGCATACAGAATTAAACTGTCACTACAAAGTCAACATATTTCTTTTGTAAAATCATAAAAATCTACTTAGAGTACCCAAGTAAAATTCTTTTACTTTTTTGCCTTACTGCGGAGTGAACTCAGGACTTGTGTATGCTAGGCGAGTGCTACAGCACTGACCAGCATCTCAGCGCTGACTGACGTTCATCTTCGTAAACAAAGCTGCAGTGCTGTTTGAGAACAAACAAGGGCTCAGATAAATGGGGAAAACATCATGTTCTTCAATTTGAAAAATAAATATAACACAAAATTTATTTTAAAAAATTATTCCACAGATTTGATGGAATGTAATGAAAATATTATTTTTGGATATAACAATAAAATTCATAAGAAAGGGCAAAGAAAAATAAGTTTTTGTTTTTGTTTTTTAACAAAAATTGAACCCAGGACCTTGTGCTGCACAGCTGTGTTATATCCCAGGCCCGAGAGATTTTATCGAATAATAAAATCTAATAACATTAGTATCTGACAATTAAATATATTACTGTGAAACAATGCCTCTAATTAATCTTTCTTGCATTCCAAAACTGAGAAAGCCTCGCCAGTGGGCCATGCCAAGTGGTTTTCTTTTTCTAGTGAGCTGCCATCTGGTGGCCTCAACTAGCAATTAAATTTCCACTGCGGCCAGATGCCTGGAGTTGGCCGATTGCTGCTGCTTTATTTCGTTCTGGATAAGCAATAAAGGGAAGCCGAGTGCTGAGTCAAAGGGCGTTCCAGACACCTACCAACCTTCCTTATTTCCTGTATAAAATGATAGGGTGTCTGTATTTGGCAAAAATGTTGGTAATTATTGGAGCAGGGTGCTTTTGTGTATGTTTGCAAATTTCAATAGCAAAAAGTTAAAAACAGAAATGAAACATAAAATCACTCCTACAAACTATAAATGGCCAGTTAATACGTGAGTGAATCCTTAATTTCATCAATAATGAAAGACAATTTAAAATAACTAAATATTTTTTACTTTTCAGAAAAAGAACGTTAAAGCATTGGTAATTTTAAATGCTAAAGAGTACATGGGAAAAATCAGCATTTGATCGCTTGGTAAGAGTTGGTACCCTCTGTTGGAGGGCAGTGTAGTAACACCGATGGAATATTTTATGTTCAAAAAGTGCTTCATAGTTTTATAACTAGAATTTTATTTTCTTTCCCATGAAGTTACTCAGGAAAGAATGAAAAATTCTATTGCAGCATTGTTAATATGAACAAAACTTTAAACATAAAGTGATTATAAGATATGCATTAAGTAAGTTAAAATATCGTATAATGGAAAAGTCCATGTCATTTTAAAAGAATTGTTCCTTTGAATTAGCAAGAACTTATTTTGGTTAAAGAAAACAGTATAGGGCTGGGGTTTAGTTCAACAGCACAAGCGCCTGCCTGGCGAGCATGAGGTCATCGATCCCTGGTACAAAAAAAAAAAAAAAAAAAGGAAGACAGTCCATAAATTTTTAACTGGAGGTCAATAACCAAGTAACGACAGTGATTTTAAGTGGTAGAGAGTTCTTCATTATATAGTTCTGCAATGCTCAACTTTTGTTCATGCACATATATTATTTTTCCAATACAAAAAGGCTTTAAAATAAAATTTTAAAATAAATAAATTGGTCCTGGTGGCATATATAGGTAATCTCAACTACTAAGGGGCCGAGGATGAAAGATCACAAATTCAAGGCAATTTAGGGAAAGCCTGCCTTTAAAAATTTGAAAGAAAAGTTGGGGGGGGGGAGACCAAGAGACACATTTATTTCTCCCAGTATTTAATCCCAAGTACTGCAAAAAAAAAAATTAAGTAAGCATAGTGTATTCTCCTATCCATGGAAAAGTCCCACTACTAACCTTAGACCCTGTTAGCTCCTAAGTCAGAGTTGGTTTCCCACCCCATCCTGAAGGTCAAAGAGATTTTCATTTGACTGTCTTGAGCTCTCTGTGCTGGGTTCCACGAATGAATCTGGAAATTCTTTTCATCATTTCCCCCCAGAATATTCTAAAACCAATTAGAAGAAATAGGACAATCTGTGGTTTCTTTAATGTCAGGAATAATAAAGCCTAAAATAGTAGCCTCCACGGTGGTGACAAGATGATTCATTAGCACTCAGAGGAAATGTGTTAGAACTTCAGCCTACATATTTTTATCTCACCCAGTGTTTTGGGTCTGATCTGCTCATCCCCAAAGATGTAGAGAGTTTAGAAGGGGACTGGATCGTGGGGGTGCTCTCCTTATCAGGGTGAGGTCAGCAGCTGAGTGTGTTAATAGGGTCACTGTGAGCGTGACCTTGAAGGGTGTATCTCCCGCCCTGGCTTCTCCTTTGCCTTTCTTGGTCCTGGCTGCCTTGAAGGGAACAGCTTCTTGTCTGCGATCCCCCTTTGCCATGCTGGTTCTGCCTCGGAGCTGAGACTACAGGCCAAAATAAACCTCTTCTCCTTGGAGCTGTGGGTGTAGGGTATTTTGTTTCAGTGACAACACAGTGACTGAGACACCCTTGGTCAATTTTAAACTGTCAAGTTGCTTTAAAGTTTTGTACTTATGATTATATATATATAGCTAAAAAACAAATATACATTCACATATCAAGGGAAGTGTTTGAACTTTTTGGGGTTTTTTTGGTACTGGAGATCGAACTTACAACCTTGCGCTTGCTAGGCAAACACGCCAATGAGCTAAACCCCCTGCCCTGAACTTCTTTTGATAGATTGATCAGAAAAGTTTAGGGAGCCATGAATATAGACTACAGCAGATTTCAAGAAAACTAACATCTAGCCAGCTGCTATAATCCCAGGATGGTTATAATCCTGGCACTCGAAAGACTGAGGCAAAGTGATCAGCTGGAGACGGAGGCCAGCATGGGCTACACAGTGATTTTAAGATCAATATAAACTACACAGTGAGACCCTGACTCAAAAAGAAAACGAAAGAACAATAATAACAAAAGCTAAAATAAAAAACCTTGCCTTTCTGTGAGTTAGGGCAGTTGCCTTGGAGAATGAGAGAGGAATCAAGAAGCCAAACCACACTTTTCCTTGAACTAACCAGTGAGTAGGTGGGCTGGGAGGCAAGAGCAAACCTTCATCCATGACTCCGTAAGCAGTGGGCTGATGTGGAAGAACTCAGGCTGAGCTGATAGCAACCGGAGTAAAAACAGTAACTTAATGCTTGCATTGTTTGACTGACTTTGCAGGCCTAAACCTGGTAGTCTGAGCATCTATTTGGAAAATAGCAATATGCACTGTAGCAACTGTTGAGGATTTCCTTCTGTCTTGTTTTTGAAATCCAGTGTTTTGTTCCATTTTATAGTTTTGTTTTATTTCTGTATCTGGTAACTTGAGCAACTATTGAAGGTAACAACATGCAATATGACATCCATTGTTAAGTTCCTATCATTTTGTTTTAAAAACCTATATAGCTATTATTGTTCTTTGTTGTTTTTGTTTTGCTTGTGTTATTGTTGTTTTTTATTTGTTTGCTTCTTGATTTTTCAGTTATTTTTATCTGTAAAATCTAAAAAAAAAAATCCTAAAATCAGAACTAAGGTACATATAAATACCTTCCATAAGTTAATTGTTCTTCCCAAAGCCACTAACAGCAGTTTTTAAAAAAATCAGGAAAATAGGAGAAAAAACACAAAGGAAGAAAAATGGTAGTTTCAGCTCAATGAATAATTAAAAGTAGAAGGGAGAGAAAAGACAAAGTGAAACAGGTAGAAAAATTTTTATAATTAAAAGTAACAATAAAAAATGAAAGCCCCTTGTAAATATTGACAGGGTGGCAAAATAAAAAGTCGGAATAATCCACAAAAAGACCTCGAACACGAGAGCTGAGTCCTAGCCCATGCTGTCACACAGTCGGAGGTGAGAATGCGGTTGATCTGGAGATGGGTACCACTCGGTCTGCCTTACTGTGCTTTCTCCGTATAATATGAAATGAGTAAGGAAAAGACTCTAGCTCATAGGATTGCATATCAAACGAATTGTTTTGTTAGGATTTGAAAGGCCAGTGTATTTCTGTTATTTATTTCCTTTTATTTTAAATTGAGCTGCTGAATGCTTTATAGATGTTAAAGAATAAAAACCAAATGAAATTGAAAAAAGAATTGGAAATTCTGTGATGCTGTACTTGCAAATGCAATTTTAAAAAGTCTACAGATTCATTCAGAGCTTTTAAAGATACAGCAGATAGTGATTTATTTGCCAGTGCGTGGAAATCTTGAGCCCTTTGTAGTTGTATAAGCTAAATGATCAAGTACAAATAACTACAAAGAACCTATGCTTTAGAACTTCTAAAAAGTCTTTCAATAGCTAGAATAAAAGAAATTTACAGCATTAAAGCAATGACCTTTTTTCTTTATAGTTGAAAGCTGAATTCATACCATTTGGAGCAGCAATAATTCTTAGCAATGTTCTAAATGATCAATAAGTTACATTTGAAAATAACTCTTGCATTTCACTGGTATTTTAAAGATTATTGCTAATCATAACTCGAAAAGTCTGACCTCTTGGGGCTGGGGATTTAGCTCAGCGGCATAATTTTTCTTTTTCTCCCCTGCAAGCAGGCAGTCGTGAGTTCGATCCCTGGTATCGATGAAAAGAAAAAGACAAAAAAAAAAAAAAAGAAAGAAAAGTCTGACCTCTTGGGGCTGGGGATTTAGCTCAGCGGCATAAGCGCCTTCTTTGCAAGCACGTGGTCGTGAGTTCGATCCCTGGTACCAATTTAAAAAAAATATAATAATAAAAAAAAGAATCTGACCTCTAAGAAAAGCATGTTTTGTAAGAGTTAAAAGCCAAACCAAATGTTGTTCTGTTAGTAGCCGGGTGGCACAGAGAATGAAGAGGTTTCTTGGAGATGAGACTTAGTCTGCATACGGGGAGGCCCAGAGCCTCTGCTCTGTGTGGTACTCCCCTATGCTACCATGGTACCCTAAAATGGTTTACAAGCAGCAGCAAATACAGGAAGATTTACCGTGGTACAGTGTATGTCAAACACAACACACATCATTGTTCTGGAAGCAGGCAGCAGGTAGACATGAAAATTCAACTAAAAACTAGGATACTGATGTATCAGAAAAATTATTATACGGAAGGAACAGAATTAACATCAGAGGGACTGTCCAGCAAGAACACCCAGCATTAGGGAGTCTTCAGGGAAACCGTTCCACACTGAGAAATCTTCAGCTTTT